ATAATCATTAAGATAGCCCACTAATCAATTTAAAAAATTTTTGGGACGTTCTGCAAAGTATTTAACTTATCATTTCTGATGTGAATTTTATTTGAATTCCGAAAAATGAGACTAAAAAGCCATTTAAAAAAAAAGGAAAGCTTTGATAGAACCAAAACAATTCCAATAATTAGTAAGTAAAGCAGATTTATGAATAAAAACTAAAATAAACTAGAATAAATTGATTGAAAGTTAGTTAAATTTTATGTGAGGCACTAAAACCATTGTCAAACCATTTCTGTATAAGTGAAATGAACTTTATGCAATGCAAACCGTCTTAACATGGGTAAAACTCACATCACTTCGTTATTTCTTATAATTTTTACTGCTACGTGTGTATTACTTCGTGCAGCATCTGTAGCACGCACAACATTACCAAATACTCCCGCACCAGTATAACCATAAACACGGTAACGACTATCAAGCATTTCACCAATTCTTATCCCTACAATGAAAAAATGCTATTTCAAATAAATTTTTGTGATAAATGGAACAAAAAAGTTACACAGACTGATAAGTATAGTCAGAGTGGTCAAACTGAGTAAAAACGACGTGGTAATTTGATAAGGAGTACAATTTTCTTGGAGTTGTGACTGTAGTCAATAAATGCAAAATTACTGAACATTAAATTATAGGACTCAAAAATACTCCCTGAACATTCGAATTATTTTCCCTACATCCTGCACAATATCAAAATACTTTCGAACGTCTGCTAAAACTAACTGTAATAACCATCTGTGTCATCCCAATTGTCCTTCAACGAAGCATTAGTTGGTTCTTGTCCAGAAACGATTACAGCTGCTTTACTCAATATCTGAAACATTTAATGTCGAAGAATTTTAGTTAATTCCCAAACACGACCAGTAGAAATTCTTTAATTTACTACTTCAGCTAACCAGGACATAACACATATGCAATATAAAAAAATTACTTCAGGTGGAAGATCAGCATCAGTAGCAAACATATCAAAGGTGGTAGCACTGATAGTGTTATCAGTGGCCTTATTTGCTTCCTCTCGCTCAGTATCTTCTCCACGCTGCCTTCGTAACTCTTCTTCTTCTTCTTCTACAGCTTTTTTCAAAGCGCGATCAACTGCAGATTCTTCTTGCCCCTAAGTAGTCAACTTCATGAGGAAAAAGACTGACACTAAAATTCAATACTGATTGATACTGAAATTCTATACCCAAAAAATGAAAAGATTCAAGCGCACCTTAATGTGAACCATTTTCTCCTTCAAATCACAATAAAAATCTGCAGGCGTATCTTCCCCAGCGGGAGAAACAGGACTACTGGAACAAGACACATCACTGTCATGCTTCTTACAAAGTTCTCGTTCTGCTTCTCTAATGAGCAGCTCGTCGGCTGACTGGCTCGATGTTTCATCACCAGACGCAAAATGCTTGTTCTGTTCCATAATAGAAGCTTCGAAATTTGTGCTCCCGTTTAGATCTCCCTCACCTTCACCATCACCATCATTATCACCATCACCATCATTATCACCATCACCATCATTATCCCCATCACCATCACCAATAACATCGCCATTTACTGCATCTTCACCAATTCGGGCTCTGTATACCTAATTTTTTAAATAATTTTCCCAACTTCAGTTGAGTAATTATTATGTTAATAAAATTCAAATCCAGTACGAACAATAAAACCGTTATCCTGACCGAGCTTTTTCATCAATCTGCTTCTCGATGCTCATTAGAAACTGCTGTCGACGTCTTCGGAGCTCCTGAATCTTCTTTTCTTCCTTTTCTTCAGGATCTTCCCATTCTGTAGAACTTACACTACTTTCTCGATAATGGCGATCCTTTTTCGGTTCTCTAAATAATGTCAATTATGATATTTTTTGGTAATCATAACAACAATGTTTTCCTATAATTTCAGAATTAACCTAAAATAATTTCGTCAATTCTTCGTAACTAAAAAAATGTCTAGTCAAAGATTAAAAATCTCTAATGCAAATCACTACGGACTCACTTATGAAATTTGCTTGCAGATTTAGATACATCATCACGATGTGTTTGATTTTTCCTGGTTGAGTTTCGACGAAACTCATTTTTCGCTTTATCACTGCGCCTATCTCTTGATCTACCACGTTCGCGTTTTTCTCTATCCCGAGATGATTCCGTATGACGTTTTAATTCTGAACGTCGAGAACGATCGCCAGATCTGCTTCGACGAAGACGATCTCTCGATTTACTTCGACGAGAATGATCTCTAGATCTACTTCGACGGAGACGATTTTTCGACCTACTTCGCCGACAACGATCAAGAGATCTGCTTCGACGAAAACGATCACCAGACTTACTTCGCCGGGAACGATCACCAGACTTACTTCGCCGGGAACGATCACCAGATCTACTTCGACGAGAACGGATATCAGATCTGCTTCGACGATTACGATCGCGTTCACGACCACCTTGATCTCTAGATCTTGAAGTGTCTCTTAATGACCGCTCATTAGATCTGTAATAACTTCATATGCATGCGATATTATGCCAAGCGAAAGGTTTTCAAAAGTGGACGCTAACTATACAATCTTAATGTAAAAACCAGGGATTTGAAAGCTTACTTGGAGTGAGGACGTGGCCCACGTCGTACTAGTGAGCGTGATCGTCTATCAACACGCTTCTCACGATCACGACCACGTTCTGTACGACCAGATTTGGAGCTGCTTCTGCGCTTGTCATCTCTGGATTTCGAAATACTTCGATGTACTTTACGATCACGTGACTCTGAATGTAATTCATCTGCTTTATCACGAACACGCCTACCTGTAGAACGACTACGCCGTCTGCTACTTCCAGAGTGATCAGCATCTGGACGTCTTCTGGAGACTGATTCTCCGTCCTTTCGTCTTTCACGATCTATTTTACCTTCAGCATAATCATAACGATCTCCATCCCTACTTGTTTTCGACGCATTTTCAGAGTTCTGACTTGATCTCACTACTTCGGTCACTTTTTTTTTGTCATCTTTCGTTTGTACATCATTTCCGACTCTCCTCGAATCCAGTCGCTCTCTTTGTGACGTGCTCCCAACTTCCAATTCCATACTCTGATAATCGTTTTTTAAAACGTCCTCTAACTCCCTTTTTCGTTTAGCAGACTCATATTTCTCTATACACTTCTGGTCTTCTTTCAAATGTGCACGTTTTCGTTTTCTTTCTAGTGTAGAAACTTCTTTCGTTTCCCTTTCCGTTTCAACAGCAACATTTTCCTTTCCAATTCCATTCGCAGTAGCCAATGCATTATTTTCCGAAGGTTTTTCATCGTGTCGATCACTTTTTGGACTTAAGGAAGCTTCACTGTCAGCACCAGATATCTTCTCAATCTGTTCATCAGAATCATCTAAAATTAAAAATGAATTTGATAGATTTTTACAAAATATCAGGTTGTTAGTTCTTCAAGATACATTAATCACTAAATCTTGTGTTGCACTATATTGATGAGCAGCAGTTATTCCATAATACTTCAAAAAGCAAAGTAAGATCAAAGACAATATCGAACTTTACTTTTCCTTTCTTCTTTTCGCAATTTGTCTTCTAGTTGTTTTTCTTGAACTTTTAATTCATGGGACTCATCTCCTGACTCCTTATCGTTATCCTTTCTTTTCTTCTTACTTTTTTTATGTTTCTTTAGCTGTAAAATGTTTGCCAGATGAGTTCAATTACCAGTAATAAAATTATATATTACTTACAAAATTATAAAAATTTAAGAAATCTTATAAAAAATTCTATTCCACAAACAACTAGCAGCCGACAACTAAATGAAAGGTATGAACTAAATTGCAAAATCTAAGAGACTTGAAAACTCTAACTTTTTTATCTCGCTTTTTTTTATGATGATGCTTTTTCTGCTCTTCTTCATTATTAGAATCGATGTACTTATGCTTGTGCTTATGCTTTTTTTTGGATTTCTTCTTTTCATTGTCGTGAGCAACAACACTTGTCGAATCATCTACGTTGCGAGAAGCAATTAGTTCCAATTCGACGGATTCTTCTTTTGCATCCATCATTTCTACAATCTAATTAATAAACTCAATTCTCAAAAAATAGATATGTAGCATACGAAACTCAAAAGAGCAATCCATAACGCTGACAATGAACGAATTGAGGTGAAATGGTCATATCTGGCTTTTCATTGTAACTGAGTAAGAAATTAGACATACCAAGTGAAAAAATAAATCCATGTAACTATTTCATCAATAAAAATGTAAGACAAGTGTTTAAGTCAGCGTTTATCTAATGCTTCTAAAACTATTTTTCTCAAAAATAAATATCTGAAGATAAATGAAGTAAATTTCGTCAAAAATTTCCGAATTATTATAATCTAATTAATTTTCATCAACAATATTATCGGAATGCAAGAACAAAATAATTTTAAACCACAAAAAAAAATAAAAAAAACAAGTGTAAACAACGAGACACAATTTTTGATTAAAAAAGAAGGCAAATAAAATTAGTTTTTCCAGATAGGCAGTAAAAATGACTACCTTAATAAAATTATCTCAAACTAAATTCTAAGTTTTGATGTCTAGCAAAATCCATGATTAATCACCAAGTGTATACCTTACAGAGAACACAACAGATGTAGAGTACATGGTCGCATGCAATCTTTCTTGCTCTATTTGCAAATCGTCAGAAATCATTTGGCAAGTTTAAAGCTTAAAGAATGTAATAATTAACAAACTTAATAAAAAATATCATTACTAAATTTGTGAAGCATGAGACCAACAAAGTACTCTGTATCAGTTGAAAAATTTATTTAAAGAAATTTAAGAAAAACGCTTTCATACATACACCTTAAACGCTGCATTTCTCTTAGTTTCCACCACGATTAATGATAACCAATAAACACGATCACCCGTCAATTAAGCGTCCTTTGTTTCTGAAAGCTCTTTTTGTTTAATTTTTTCAATTAACCCGATAGAAAATATATGATATTGTACCTCACGTTTTTATACAATCTCATACTTTTTGAAACTAAACGTATTCCAACAGTCAACCCTTTTGATCAATCAAAAAAAAAAATAACGCAAACAACATATTAAAATTAGAAATATTGTTTCTGTGTAAATACTTCCTGGAATTAATTTGGAACTGAATTTCTGAACAAAAGATTCAGGCTGAAAAAATCTTCTATTACAAAAATGTAATGAAACCTAAAAATAAAAGGAAACTGTGATGATAATTTCCACTTGACAAAATCAGTAATGACAAGAACAACTACAATAACAAGAACAAGAAGGGGTCGATGAATGTTTACGATAGTAGTTGCGCAATCAAATGGTAACATCAACTGATTCATCTGAAATTTTAAAACTGAAATGACGTTTTGTTGCGTACGAAAATTACTTTGGCACAATACATTAAGCATCTTACCAAGGGTGCAATTCATATGAAAATGCAATTTTTGATGCGTCAACAATGCCATTTGAAATTACTTGATAACACATAAATACTACAACTTCTATATAACACTCATATTTTCATTTTAAGTTTTTTAATCGAAATAATTGCGGAAAAAATCTCACTTAAGCTGACAAAATGACAAATTAAAACGATGCTCCCTATATAAACTATTAGAGAGTACTTCTAAAAAATATCCCACATTCTAAAAGGTAACGCTGATATCTTCGATAACACCAACTTCAAACTTACGCATAAAAATATTACTGAAATACTTTTCCTATTTTATTTAGTTTGAAAAATTGACCTCTCGAAACTGAATTTTCTCCGAAACTGAAAAAATTGACTTTTCCCCGCGACTGAAAATTTTAAACAGCATCTCACACTTTTTATTATGATCCATGCAAATAAGTTTAACATACTTTAACCAAGTAAGAACGCTAGAAATAACATGAAAAATCATGAAATCTCAGGTTGAAAAATCAGATAATGTATTATATAAGATGACAAACCAGATTTTTCTGCAAAATTACATTTCAATAAAACATGAAATCACAACGATTTTTATAAATCAACTAAAAAAATTAAGTCTTATTTTTGTACTAAATGTATTTAAAACTAAAGTTATCTCCGATCCATTTCCAGCAAAAGTGAACGCGCGATTGCTCCAGATTCCTCCTGCTATGAAATACTATATTTGAGTCACAATTATCTCGTAAAATTAAAAATTCCGTCAGAAATTTTGATTCCCTGGAAGATTACACAACAAAAAAAAGCATAGAAAGAAGACAAACTAAAAGTGAGGCCCAAGCAATGTCTCCTGGCGCAGTGAAAAATTCTCATCCCAATTGTGTGAAATTTTCATATTTTTAGCAGTTTCACTCAGTCCAGAAGTATCACATTTGATACTGCTGAAAAAAATGGATTCTTCAAATGCAGCAATAAAACCAAAAGGCTAAATTGTCAGGAATCAGTAGATATCGTAAATACATAGTTTATATTTAGCATGTGTATATTACTTTTATAAATAGAAAACATCCAGTCTTTTTCGAGTATATATTATTGGAAGTTATATATACACATGCTAAGTAAACACGATAGTTCTCAAGATGACGCTCAAAAGTATTACTTTCGATACTCGTTATGGATTTCAAAAGGACAAAGCGAAAACGATAAGCACAACAAATCTGAGCGCGAGACAAGTCCGTCAGAGTGCCAAAATGCGATCCAACGCCAGATCAGTGAAGCAAAAACAAAAACTGACCTCCAAATTTCTTTCTTTTATCGGCAGTTACAACAAGCTCATAATCATTAAAGTTTTCAACACCTATCCATCAACCTCCGTACGACAAATGAAATAATGCTGGCGACAAAAAATATTTAATTTATAAAATGCAAACGTATATAGATAAGACACGGTACAAAACTAATTGAACGCTAGCATATATTATCGAAAGCAGCGATTACACACCGCTCTCATTATGAATGGTACAACAGTGACTTCCACAAATAAACTACCATTATTTATTTTTTCAACACTGTAAATAACAAAACATTATGTACACTACTTGATTTCAACAGTCTCATACATATTATATGTTTCATAAAACAGTAAGGGTAGTATTTTGTACAGTGCTGAAGAAACACACGTTAAATATAAAATATTAAGTATACTATTCTATACAGTACTGAAAAAGTACGAGTAAAAGTCTATATGTGGAAGAACGATTCATATTTACTACCATTTGTAACACCGAAAACACATCGAAACAATTTAGTCTTAAGCTGTATAAAATTTTAACTAATCCTTTTTAACATTACGAAACTAAATGTTTAAATATACTTGGTGATACTTTGTATTAAATAAAAAACATTATGCCGAACTTCAAAAAAAAAAGAACATTAATAAAAGCAATATTTCCATGCAGTGCATTTGACCTGATTCAAAACTACTGCCTTTGCCTAATCATCGGCCGCGTTAATTACTGTGATCGATTGCATTAATGCAAGTAGACTCACGACCACAGTTGCTATTGATAACCTGTCATAGGCAGCACATATGCTTAGTTGTAGTGGTGTGGTAGTTACTCTGCTAGTCACTATTGAGTTAGTGCTGTAGTATTAATATAGCACATTTGTATTCGCGAAAAAACTTTGAAAATAGTGTAGAGTAAGCTGTGTCGAGGTCACGATATTATCATGCTTAATATTGATCATTTAGAATCATTTCATTGTTGTTGGCTGAGGTCATTTCGATATTGCATATGTACAAGTAGAGGTCATCAAAATATCCATTTAATTTATAGGTTTATTGTAATTAATAATTGACATGTTTTAGCGACAAAAATGGCCAAAGTAGCGTGAGATTAGCAGTCAGAATCAGATATATTTGTATGCGTAGTTTACTTAATCATTATGAATTAATTGTGACGAAAATGTTGTTCAAATATTGATTTGTTTAACTCTGTAATAGGGGATAAAATTGAACGAAATAAACTAATTTAATCTTTACAGAAATCAACAAAGTTAACATAGCAGTTTGTAGAGCAGTCATCGAAAGATTCAGTAGTAAGAAATAACATTCTGTTTGAAGAGTATGCTTCCTTTCGTCTATAATGGTGATGGTGATCATTCTGGAGGCTATGATAATGAACGGTATGTCGAAGATTTAGTTAAATTTACGAAAAAAAATAGTTTGCATTCTTACTTCGTATTGCTAGTCAGTAATTCGGATTTTTATTCTTATACATACACATAGTCATTGTATAATTCCTTGTGTAGTTAATCTTAGTTTTCGATGATGATGGATATTATGTTTCAGACGGAATGACAGATATCACCGAAGCGGTTCTATAAATCGTTCAAGATCTCGATCTTGGTCCCGAGAACGGAGGCGTAAGCATTTAAATCTCATAGTTATCATTCCAGACCTAATACCTGATATTTTTGGTTATAATTTTAATTAAAATAGTTTATCACATTTAGTTTTGGATCGATCTCGAGCTAGCATTTTTGCAGGACGAAATTACTATTCAAGATCACGCTCTCCGTACAGAAGTCATACCCGTAGTCGCAGTCGTAGTAATAGTAGTCACGGTCGTTCACCACATCATGATAGTGATCGAAAATGTCATTCGGGTGATAAGGTTAGGAAAGTTTCTTGACACTTCAACACATTCATAATTATTTAGTCCTGATAGTCATTGATTCATAACTTAGTAATTAAAAAATATTTTAGTTGTGCTGTATTGAGAGGACTGAATTCTGTCTGCTTTTAGGAACCAAGGGAGTTTTCTAGTGCATTGCCTTATTTGTCCTCTATGCAAGCTCAGTTACAAACAGACAAATACACATCGCACGCAGCACTTTATGGACAACCGCATTACAAAATTGTGATGAAAATGCTGCCAATTGATTCGCAGCGGGATGAAGTAAATTATTTTTTTTTGTGTTCAGTTGCGTTTAATTTTGCAGTTATTTGATGTACTTTAATGGAATTACTGTCAGGTAGTTAATTTACAATTAATAAGTGAGTTTTGCTCTACAGTGATTTTTTTGTGTTGCAAAATAATATGAAAATTATCATTAATCATATATAAAAGGGAAAGTACTGTGGTAGTAATTTGACTTTTCTTGTGGAATTGTCGTACATAGTCAAGTTTCATAACTATAATTTACAGTTAATGGCACTTACGGTACGTCAAGGCTTTCGGGTGAAGGATATCCGTATCATTCATAAAGGTAATATCTTAATTTTTCAGTGAGCAGAACTGCTGACTCTTTGATGTCTTGGTATTTCATATTGTGTTGGACAGTTCCCGTTGTAAGATTAACTTATAAGATTTTTTGTTGTGCAAAAATTTTTTTCCTCATAGTATTTGTAAATTTTTATCGAGTTATTACAACGTGTGTAAGCGCGTTGCATCGTAACAAAACCTTAATTTTTTGGTAAAGACGCCGTTTGTCAAAAAAGTTTGCTATAGCAGATCCATGTCGTTGATAATTCAAGGTGATAGTGTCGTCAATGATGAAAAAAATCACTACATCGATATTTGGTAGGAATTTATTGATGAGGGAGAGAAAAAAGGTGAATTTATCTGGGGCAAGTGGTGTGGAAAGACCGTGTTTAATATGTCGGTTTTTGCGCATTAAGTTAGGTTAGGTCAAGATTAGGATCGTGTCTTGTATTCGACGTGTTTTCTGATGTTTGGTGTTGAATTAGTAGTGTATAGCTGAACAGTAAGCATGGGATATTGTCGTAATGACTCCTTCGAGACAAGTGGAGGAAGGTATCGTGGATTCTAAATCCAGAATCTTTCATTTTCATTAACTTGTTGCAATAACTACAGGTCCAGACCGTTGTTTCGGGTTCGTGGAATTCGGAGATGTGAATAGCGCACAAGCTTGGATGGAATACAACAAGGTCGAACACTGTATACATACATAATTTTTATCACTAAAGAGACTGCGAATTTTTATCTCTAAAAAATAGACAATCATCAGTTCTTAGCTTATTCTATGGGTGGTCGATTTAAAATAATCTTTTAGGTGCAAAACTGGAAGATTTCAGTTAAATAAATTTTTTTGATAAGGGATTAAAGCTTACAAAAGTTGAGTGATAAATCTAATCTATATATTGCCTTCTTGAGTGCTGTATGGAATTTTAATTTTGTATGATGCTTGTAAATCATAGAACTACCTACATGTTACTTATTGTGATCAGAGTGTCAAGTATGTGATGGGAAATGTGGCGCAAACCGTGTTTCAGGCTTTACGGTTGTATTCTTTTCCGCTTTAAATTATCTCACTTGTTTCAGGGAACTTTGTTACTGGATGATGGACGGACGGTTAAACTGGAGTATTCACGATATGATAGTCTAGATGGTCGGTCAACGAGCCATTCAGGTTCTGGAGATTGGATGTGTGCAAAAGTATGTTTTCAAAACCTTTTAAATTATAGTTGTGTGACTCCATAATTCTATTAAAGATTTTGGTTTAATTTTTTTCTTTTTATTTATGCATTTTTTCAAGTGTACGATCAAAAATTTCAAAAATCGAGGAGCATGTTTCAAGTGCAATTTAACGAGGTTGGAATCAGATGGTTTAACCAGAAAAGGTTATGCAGCAATTGGGGTCGCGAAGTGTGATAGTAAGGATTAATTTCTAGTTTTACTGCATTCATGTTAAAATCATTCTCATCTGATGTATTTCAAAATTTTTTTTCCAGCATATAACTGGGGTGATAGCTAGTTTTCTTTCATTTCATGTAAGACAAAGCTTCTGTGCAGCTCATATCGCTTCTTATTTCTTCTTATTTCAAGCTCTCCTCTTACGTGAAATACCGCTGAATTGCACAGAAGCTAAAATTCAAACGGAAATGAATCGGTTATCATCATTGGATGTATTACGTGTTCATATTGCTGAATCTGGTCTCTACGCATATGTCCAAATGCGCAGTGCAGACGACGCAGAAAGAATTATGCTGACATTAAACAAAATACCTCTTCTTATTGATGGTTGTGCAGGTTTACTTTTCACATATTTGATATTGTGAAGCTAATATTCTTGCATTAAATGGTAAAGATTTTATTGCCTATTTTGTTTAACTGAATATTTTATGGTTATTTTGAAGTTGTCATTCTCAAATTGTGATGAATTTGGGTTAGAGATTTTAGTGATGGTTACTTACTCGAGGTTGCCGTTAAACACAGTCTTGTCAACAACAGCAGCAACGGAATCAATCCAGAAAACTGCAGAACGCATTAATCAGATGCCTGCTTTTAGACCTACAGCTGGGTCAAGTAATAGTTCTCAATTCCTCTTCTGTAATGTTGTTTTCTTTTCTTAATATTAATTTAAAAATTTATGGAATTTTTGGTGTAGACTGGTATGAAACTTTCATTGATTTACAACATGTGTTAAGTATTTCGAGTAGATTCTTTTTAGGCGGAAACGCTGGTGTGGAAGCTGCACAACTAGCAATCGCAAAAGCCCAACTGATACGACAAATGACAAACTCGTTGATAGGTAGCAGCGATATGGTTCGTGAAGATTGCAGTTTTTTTCTATTTCTGCTGTAAATTTAATGAAGGATATTATATGGCTATTATGTCAATTTTTTTGGAGTATTGAACTTCACAATTTCTTTTTTTGATTTTCTTGAATCTGTGAATTGTTTTACTGTTATGGTATTTCTTTTTAAGATACAATCAGCTTATTCTTCTGGATCCACGCCAATGCCGCACGGTCTTAATCGACCACCACCATCTTTACCACAAGAGACGAATTTTGTTGTAACTGATTACTTCAAAGATGAGTCTTCAACTGAAAGAAACTTTGTCTGTGTGGATGATATCACTCAAGTACCTTAATTTTTTCGAATTAAATACCAAATATATTTTGAGATAGTGATCAAAATCAATCAGAATTTTTGTTTTATTATATTCAATTTTGCATATGTAATTTACTTGGTTTCTTTCAAATCTTGCTTCCTATTTGTGTCTTCTTCTTTTTGTAGGACACCCAATTTACAATGTCTGGAGGAAATATGCAGACATCTGCTGCTGCATTCACTGGTTCGCAGAATGAAGACATTGACTTAGGCTTTGTGTTTACTCCATGGGGACGTTATAAAAGATATCGTATGTTTATGATTCATAGCTAGAATTAACGAAATTGTAGAAAATAAATTGTTTTCTGTTTCAAATATATAATTATTCAGAGTAATTCAGAGAACTTGTTCTTAGACGAATCTGTTTTTGTAGTTCATGGAGTTTGTTCATTTGCATTTCATAGATGCGCCAAATCCGACTGTCTACCAGTTTGAACCGTCCTCTGGATTATATTATGATCCAAGTACCAGTCTGTACTACGATAGCAATTCGCAGTACTATTGGGATGCCACTACTCAGAAATGGAACGCTTGGAATGCAGTTTATCAAACATATGTACCCTGTGATTTATTGTCAGGGAAGACGTCATCAGGTTGTGTTGATTAGAGTTATTATTTTCATTCGTGTGAAGAACAATTACTGTGGATCATCTTTAGTTTAACCTTCAATCAATTATAATTGCAGACTCAGTAGCAAACAATGAAAGCAGTAACGAAGTTGTCTTACAGAACACAGAAACTAATAAGGATGAATCGAAAAATGAGGTATTTCAAAGCTTTATGACTGTAAAAAATATAACTATTTTAAATTATTCTCAAGAGCTTGCCATAATTTTGTAGCTCGTGTTAAAAGATTTCAATTTCTAATTCAAGAATTTTTGTTAGCCGCAAAAAACTGCAAAAGACATTGCACGAGAAATGGCACGTTGGGCAAAAAAACAAAGTAAAGTGTTGTTAGCTGTAAAAGCACCTCCTAAGCTGGAAATCACTTCGCCTCTGGTGGTTGCCACGAAGTCAAAAACAAGCGTGGAACCAACTGCTGATTTGACTTATAAAATGTTAGAAAAGACAAGTGTACGGATTTATTTCTTTTCCCTTGCTAATTCTTTATTGGTTGTAAATACTGTAGCAATACTTTGAAAGTCTGAAATTTTCGAATCTTGTATAGTCTTCAACGTATTTTAGAACCCATTTGGTTCACTCAGTGATGATGAAGAAGAAGAAGCCATACCAGCAGCAGCGAAGATTGCTGCTGTGGGTGTGAGTCGTGTAGCACTGAATAGTAAAACTGGAAATCGGCCTATACAAAACTCAGCTAGTTCATCTACACCTTCAGTTGCGGAACCAGTTGTTGATTCGACAATTAAAACGTATACTTTTAATTTTATGTAAAAATAAAAAAATTGCTTAATAATTCTTTGAAATGTAAACGATGAAAATTTTATCTTTCAGAGCACAATCAGATGAGACATTTGTCGATCCTGAAAAAAAGTATTGCATTTTATGCAGGCGAAAATTTGCGAGTTTAGATATTCTGATGAAGCATGTCAAAATGTCAGATCTCCACAAGGTTTATCAAAATTTTTAGTTACAAGAAGTCTTGAAATTTGTGGAAGTTAAAACATAAAGCATCCTAATGTTAGATCTATATAAAGTTCTCAGGAAATGTTGAAAAAAGCGAAGGTAATTTACCAATACCTTTTTCTATCGTGAAGTCATTATTCTAAATTTTTTTGTTACAAAGGGTCTCGGTACTAACCTGTAAAAAATTTTGGCGTTGCTGATATCAGTAAATTGCAAAGCAGAAAAGCTTGGTCATAGATGACAGCTTTCAGAAGAATTTAGAAGCACGTCTTTTACAAGCATCTCTTGATGAGATTCCATCATCGTCAACGGGATCTTCATCCACATCCCAAAGCAATTCCTTTGTACCAATTCAACTGCAGCAGCAGCAGTATCGGGACCGAGCAAAAGAACGACGGAACTTGTTTGGGCTGGATCCGAGTGGTCAGCTTTTTATGTCACGTTGATGAATTAGGGAATTGGATATGTTATCTATTTACTGCACTCTAGTATATACCTTGTGGAGTGCGAAACGATTTTTTTTTTTTTAAATAAATTTAGGCTTCACAAATGATAGTGCAGAAAGTGGAGTAGATTATGCTGTACGTTCATCAGATACGCCAATTGATGAAACAAATATAGGAAACAAATTGCTGAAGTCTATGGGTTGGCAAGAGGGAACTGGAATTGGAAAAAATAACCAAGGCAAGTACTTAGTTAACTTCTTGTTTGTCTGATTGTTAATGGTTGGTTTTATCTAAGAACTGGAGATCATTTATTAGCACTATTGATCTAATTGTTACTTACATAGTGTTGCTTCATAATATAATGATGGCGGTTTTTCAGGAATAGTAACACCAATAAGAACGGAAATGCGAGTAGAAGGAGCAGGTTTAGGGGCTGCTGGTTCGAGGGTACTACATGGAGCAAATGCTTCTAGACGTGAACGAGCACGTACTTCAATGATGAGTCGTTTCCAAGATTTGCAATAATGGAGAAATAAAAAGTCAACTCATATTTTTTATCAATCTTTGTGTTGATACTGAAGTCGTATTTTCATTTTTTGCGTTAACTAAGTGGTAAGTTGTTGAATAGCTCAATAGAAATTGAAGTTATTTATTCGCATTTTTTATGCGATTACGATCACTTAGATGAACATAATAACAACTTACGTTTAATTAGATTAAAATGCTGATAAAGAGTTGTAATATCATGGAATGCATACTTTTGTCTTATGTGCTTTTTACTTCAAATTTTTTATTACTTTTTAAACTTAGTCTTATTTCGGTTATATATTTTGAACTGCGTCTATTATTAGAATTTTGTTTCGTGTTTATGTACATAAAAGTTCAATGATCACTTTCTCTGCATGCGATTTGGATATCATTTGATAGAATGTTCAAGAAAAAGGAAGAGTTTGCAGTTGAGGAGTTTGTTTCAAACATTCGTCATTGTAGATGGATTGCCACTTAATGAAAACAAGATTTTTATGGACCGTAAGAAACAATTGGTTTTGGTTATACCAATTAAGGTTCTGTGAGATGTTCATTTGGAGCAGTGTTCGGCTCTGGGCACACATTGTCATTCAGAAGCATCCTAGTGGTAGGAAGTAGTTAATTCGAAAAGCATATCATGTACCTCAGATGGAGTTTATTTGTAATCATTGCGCGTAGACAGCACATCAGGTGACACGCAAAGTAATCGTCATTGGTATGTAAGTTTTGTGTGATGTTTTGCTGAGATCTGATCCAAGATGGGTTATATTACAGAGAATCATTACCCAATAAACCAGAGGAGGGAGGTGTAGAAGCAATGCACTCTTTCTATTTCTTTTAAGTATCTTTATTGTAAAAT